GAGTGGCAGCCTCGATAATAAAACGTAACGGCGGCTTTAGTAGTCTGGACGTGATCGAGGGAAGCCGTCGTCGGCCTTTATGGAGAGCCGTCTGCGAGTTTTTTTCCGTGTCATCTGCGGTGATGTATTTCGACCAAGTTAGTGTAAAACGTCAATGTATCGTGACGATGGAGGATTCGATGGTGGGTCGTGTAAGTTTGTCGAGATCGTGGAAAAACCGAGGAATATCGATCCTCCCCCCTCCCCTGTCCTCTTCGTATTCTCCTCCAATTGTTTCGATGTGTTCTTTACATGATCTCGCCACGTGACTCGAAACTTACACGTGACTATATATTATATATATATATATATATATAAATTTAATATTTCGTTTTATTCGATTTTCTTTTTTGTTCGGCTTTACTTTATCTTTGTCGCTGATCACATATTGAAAAACCGATCAAACTTATTGCGTTATTTACGAGACGCCCGATTCAATCTTTTCGAAAGGTCGCGTCAGATCCCGTCTGACTTGTTTTATTCTCGTTCTTCGTGAACCTTTTTCCTCGAGAAAAATAATCAAGCAGCTTTCTCCATTGGTGGACGTGAGATATCTGGCTAAAAAACGAAGCGTAGAAAAAAGAAGAAACCATACCCCTTTGTCGTTAAGCCTTGGAACCGGAGAAATGATCCGAGAGGATAATTCAGAAACAAGCTCCAACTACCGACCACCGTTTCCAACAACCAGTTCCAGTCTGGATAAGGCGCCGTCATCCGATCCACCACTACTACCACCCTTAAGCACCCTCTAATACCGTCGTCTCTTTCAAAATGACCGTTTCGTTATATGACAACGGTTTCCTCTCTTCAGTGCGTAAAATCAATTTTTCGCCATTCGGGGGAGACGATTTCCTCTTGTTTGCCCTTTCTTTCAACGTAATTTTCATTCGTATTCGCTCTAAGAAAATTTCTCGAACAGAAGTTTTACAACTTCTAACCCCAGTAGATATAACCAGTATGAAATAAAATTACGAATGGACTCGTGTCGTTAAATCGGATACTTTGAATATATAATTCGTACAAGTTAACAATTACCTTAATTCAATGGAATTCGAGTTCGAAATAACTCGATAGTTATAACAAATAGTTGGTCGAGGCGATCGTTGTGCAGGTATGCTTTTTTTGAGAAGCAAAGGATAGCAGACATTTAGAATCTGGAGAAATTCGTGATATCGAGAAAGATAAAAGATTTTGGGGAAGGAGGGAAAGATAGAAACGAGATAGTTCGAATTCACCGACGACCATTTTGTCGGTAATTTCATTCAGTTTCTTTCTCTATCCGAGATTGTACTCTCCCTTTCGACGAATCTCTCCGAATTAATGGCAGACATTAAACCGAATTGGCGAACCACGGGATACGATCTTGTTTCTCCACCCCATCTTTTCTGCAAGTAAATATTACGTATTGTTCGAATAAAGATGTCCGTTAACGAGAGGGAGAACATCTCACGGAAGAGGGGATAAAATCTCTCATAAACTCTGTTTCTTCTTGTTTCTTGCACTCACTTTTCTCGCTTCAACCCCCTTTGAACAACTCACCGCCATCGATTATTCTTCGTTCTTCGTTCTCTCGAGGAGGCGAGCCGCGCGTTACACGCGTTCCGTAATTTAACCTATTATTTTTTGATATATATCAAGAGGGAGCATAGGTTGCAAGGACTTTCATATTTCAACGTGCGCGATAACTTTCTTTCGAAAGATCGATCGCAGCCGGCTCGGCGGCCACTCAAATCAAGAGTGAAATTATTGGGGAGGGGAACGAATTTTTGATACGCAGCCGCCTCAAAGGCAACTTTAATCTTCCTGCAAGGAGACCAGATGAGAAAACGCCGCTCCTCCCACTGTGTAACTGGGAAACCCGTTCAACAACGATACATTATTAATTTCACCCTCTTCCTTCCTTCTCGAATAATTCTCGAATAACCACCACATTTTAATCT